GTGGAAAGAAATTCAACTTGCAACTGTGGAAAGATTTGACCATCTGATTGAGCTGTAAGGTCTAGATCACGAGGGTGACTTGGACAAGGCTTCTGGAAGACTGAGCAACTCATTCTTAATAACAAGACAATGTTATAGTTAACAGTGGAAGAAGTTAAACCCTCATAGTAAACATGACTAAGTTCCTTAGTTTTTATTGTTTTATAACCACAGTATTTATAAACTCTTTAAAGTAGTATGTGTTGGATGAATACTAATAGCAATGTTGGGATTTTTGTTTGTTTTCTGCTCATTTCATAAACTTGCCTAAGAGTCAATTAAAATGCTGAATTAATCAGCAAAGTATTGTTGACAGAATTGTTAGATATTTTTCCTATCAAACAATGTTTCTGTTTTTGCATACATATCCACTGTAAATTTAAGTGCAATACTAAACATTTACAACCATGCAGGGGCAGTCCAGGATCTAATGTAAGAAAATTAAACTTTGTGGAGTTTAATAGATCAGTCTGTAAACAAAGGTTAGAGAGCCACCTAGTGGTGCAAAATAATGCATAATCTACACTCAGTTTATCAACAATGCCAAGCCACTTAAGTACTCCCTTCTTATTGCCAGTCAGCAATGTTTCATAAAAACATGGACAGGCCACATGTACCTAAGACCAGAAACATACTGCTAATAGTGCATTTTTTGTTAATAGTTTCCCTATCTAATTCAAACTTATTTGTACTATCCCAGGAATAGCAATTGTTACTTGTCCTATTGATTATATTCCAAAAGTAGTGTATAGTCATGGAAATGATACTTTTTTTAAAAATGCATACATGGAAATGAGGGTAGGGAGAAGAATTACTATGTTCATGTCTATTCAACTGAGAAACACACCTTTAACTGAAAAGGCAAAAAATTCTCAGCATAGGAACACTGATATCAAACAGAGAACAGTATGGAAAGCATGGCTAATTATACACCACATTTGCATGATATAAAATAAACACACTGATTAACTTTATATTACTGGAATTCAGTGGAGATTTAGTGCTCGAGAGGGAGGAGGGATGCCAACAGTATTTTTGGCTAGAGCCAGGTAGTAAGCACAGGTGTTGTACAATCTTCCCCATGCAGTTCAGATCACCAGCCTCACTTCTGCCCCTTGGTAGTCAAATTCCAGGCTCCTCTTCAGAGGTGAATGCTCTATAATGCCTCATTAATTGTGTGTGTTGTAGGGGCTAGTATTTGAGGATGCCAAGTGTTCACTACGGTCTAAGATTAGATCACTAAAATCAGTTTCAAAAGGAGATAGTTTGATGCCAAGGATTCAAAATCTGAAAATTCCTGAATTTAAGAAACACTCTTTCTTGGAATAAAAGATACACTCCCGCTATAAACACAATAGAATACTTGGACTAGGCTTGCAGCTCTGGAGAACAACTTCTCCATCAAATGGAGGTGCAGAAACCCAAAAAATAAACATACTGCAGAGTCCTGATATCGCATTGTGATCTTTGTAGTATAACACTGAACTGTTGCAATGAAAAATCTTCAAGTGTGGATACTTCACAATGAAAACATTTCCTTGGAACGTCAGGACATCATACTGCAATTACTTTGCAGCTCTCTTCTTCCTCATTTGGCACAATCTCCTCCCAACTCTAAGCATATGCTTTGCTGAATCAGGACCTAGGAGAGATCCTGGTGACTTCTCTCCAATTATCCAGCACTCCCGGCACACTGCTTCACATGCACCAGGCAGTCTTCAATTCAGTCAGCCGGACATCAGGCAATCCATTTGCAGCTGCAATCAAACCCTGAGCTCCTCCAGCATCTCATGCAGAGACAGTCAATATGACACTAGAGCTACAGTTTGAGTATCACTGGGATAGTCCAACCCCACTGTCTTTAAAACAGACATATGAAATCCCTTGCTTTACTAGGAAAGTCAAGTTTCCCTTCCTAAGACAAAGTCAATTGAGTACCCACATCCTGATTTGCCTGTTTCCTGAGCTGAATTTCTCTAAAATCTCATGATAATGGTACATCTGAGACATTTGATTAAATGTTTTTTTATTTCTATGTACAATCTTAGTAATTCTTGAAGTTGTTTTTCACATTAGCTTTCAGTGTCTGAAAAGCTGAATTTTCGAAGTACACCAAAGGGAAGTTCATACAGGCTACGCTTCCATCCCCACAGACAAAGACTACGTCTACACTACAAGCACTACAGCAGGACAGCGGCAGCACTGCAGACACTTGCTATAGCACCAGAGGGGTTTCTGTGAGTCAGTCCACCCCCTCGAGAGACTATAGCTAGGTTGATGGAAGAATTCTTCGGTTGACTTCGCTGCGTCTACACTGGGGCTTAGGTCGGCTTAACTATGTCTCTCATGGGTGTCAATTATTCACACCCAAATGACATAGCTAGATCAACCCAAGTTTTAGGTATACACCTGGCCTAAGGCTATAAACTAGTAACACACATACATGAGACAGTGAATACATCACAACATGCCACCATATTAAAAGTATCTTCCATATGCTAGTCTATTCCCCCCTCCGCCCCTCAAAACGTTACCCTAACAATACCAGTAGAAGTTAAGAGTATCAGTAGAGTTATTTGAAGTTTAAAAAAAAAACAGAAAAAGATCTTTGGCAACACCACCACCACCACCACCACCACTTTTTGGAGGAGGCAAAGAGAAAAAAATTTGTCATATCCCCTAAAATTAACCCCACTAACATTTTGGAGAATGTGAGCGTGGCATACACGTTTACAGACAGATAGAAATTGTTCCTGCTGATTATCTAATTTCCTACATGAATGCATGAGTGGCATTTCTGTACTTCCTGAGCAATAAGACACAACAGACTATGCATTGTGATGGATAGCCAGATTGCTTAATGTTGTTGTGGTCACACTATAACTGCATTTCCATTTTTGTCAAACTTCTTCACAAAAGGCCCTACTCAGTGGGACTCTTCCTTATGACTTCAGCGGGAGTTGGATCAGGCCCAAAGTCAATTAAAAAGAGAGAGAGAGAGAGACTCAGAAGATGAAAACAGGGCTTGCTTTCTGACACTTGCTTTGGATAGAAAACCTTTTGGGTTTAGTTACTAAACATTATATAACTGAGCTGTAAAACAGCAATAGACATATCCACAGATCACTCCAAGCAGGAAAATTAGCCACATAATACTATATCATCTCAATTATTCCCTAAGAAATGGTACAGTAGCAGAGAAAAAAAATTTGATATTGTTTTTAAATACTGCTTTTATTTTAAATTAACAAAAACACTTTGAAGCCTAAGACACTGTTGGATCACAACCCTATCTCTTCAGACACTGGCAGTGTAAAGCCAGTTTCAAGGAAGTGATTTTTTTTTTTAAACAAATAAAGGTCCTCCATTACATACACACATAAAATGGCCCTGGTTCAGATTCTGAACAGCTCAAATTTAAAACTGGAGACTTTTTTAGCCCCCAGACATTCTATAATTGTAACAACAAAACTCTATGCCTGATTTATTGTATAATAATTCACATCTATACATGATATGATGGCACTTGGTCTTCAGCCTCCTGCCTGAATGCATCTATTTGTGAGTTATTACAAAATAATTCACACCCTGCCATATCTTATTGTTTCATTTACACTGGAAAAACTCTCACCTTTCTATGATGGAATATTGACTTCCTAAGCAACCGAATACCTCTTATTACAAAAAGAAGTGACCAGGCATTTTCTAATTACTTTTAATCAGCATTTGTTACTAGGTTGTCATTTATATTATGGACAAACCCATCAGATTTAGCAGAATGTCATGTGTATACTGGGGGCAGTGTCAGAAGAGAAGTGGCTTAATTTTGCCCTGCTGTAATCCTGGTATAAACTCCATCTGTTTACACTGGGACCTGATTCTGTTCTCACCTACATGGTGAAAATAAGGAGCAATTCCACTAAAATCATTTGTCATACTAGTATAAAAGTGAGGGGAAAATTGGGCCCCATAGCTGAATTTGATGCTAGATTTCATTCTTTTTCCATACTCTACCAAACTAATTTCTCCTTCTCTAGTTTAGCAGCAAGTGAAACATTTGTTGGGCCTTTGCAATTCATGCTACACTGCACAGGGATAGAATTTCACAGCATTGAAACCACTTTACCATACCAATGTCGTATCTGAAATTAATCGAAGATGCTACTGAGTTCCTTTGTTTGTTTTTTTAAAATTCCTCCAATGTACGTACAAATGATTGGAGTATAAACATATAGAACCTGATTCTCCACTCTCTTGCATCTTGTATAACCATTTACACCTCTGCAAAGTCAGGGAACAATATTACTGGGTGTAGCTGAGCAGAGAAGTATCACTTGGTAGCACTCAACATGCACTTTGGGTGCTAGGCACTGGAGAAACAGGCCCATGCTACAGCAACACTGTAATAACACTGTTTATGAGTGGCATCTTACAATTGCTTAAGTGCCGCTAGAGTTACTGTGACTTTTTTATCTGTTTTCTGTGAATATTCATATGCACGATGGTTGTGGAGACAAAATGTCATGGTGTGTTTATATGAATTTTGACAACAAAAAAGTGAATTATTCATTTACTCATCCTGTTTATAAAATGTTCAGGTGTCCAACCAGGCAACAGAAGTAATACTGTCTTAAAGGACCAGCAATACAGAGCAAATAGTGATTTACAAATAGCAAATATTCCAATAGTCCTAGGGAATAATTCCCAAATAATTACAGCTGAAGTGTATATACATATAAATAGTAGAAGAATGTCAATAACCCAAAAATGATATTCTACTAATGGATAATTCATGATCAAAAACAGGGGTTAAATTTGACAAATGAACTGACTGCTGTGAATAGTATGCCCACCTCTAGTCATGGAGCTTCTGGGCTATTCACCTGAAGCACCCTGTACAATCCTCCCTTGTGCTTTCCTAGTTACAGCACTACTGCTTCTCACATGTCCACTTTATATACCTCATATACAGTTCCATCGGCACAATGCAGTACCCCATGCCCCTGTCGCTGGTCCAGGATCCAGTCTCCTTCATACTTATCACCATTCCTGAAACAACCAACCAGGAGAAAATTCTTAATGTTTACATGCTTTGTGACTTGGTAGATAAAATAAAGTGCTATCCTGGAAAACCAGGGCTTGTAAACCTGCAGGATAAACCATTAAAAGTAAACAGCAGCAGCAAATAAGCATGGTCACAGAGAAGTCAGCATGACAGTGCCAACAACCGTCAACTGGCACTTCCTCCAGGAAGTGCTCAATTCAGCCAGCTCCCACCACTGGCCTTCAAAGTTTTTTCATCTCAGAGACAGACAATGGATGATACATTGCAAGAGTTAGCTCTATATGAGACCCTTCCCTTTATTCCCACAGGTAAGGCAAGGGTAAGGTACAACTCCCTTTGCAACCAAGGTAAGCCAACAGATCGAGTAGATCAGCATGACAGGCTATGGAAATGGCTTGTTAGCAGACTCTTATTATTCCTATTAACAGAAGTCCTCTATAGTTCCCTACTGAGTAAGAATGATTGATCAGCTTCTATCATGCTGTCAAGCCTTTTCTGGCATTGTTATTCTTCTTTCATTGTATGCTTACTTATACGCTGGTATGTGATCAGTGGGGGCTACTATCCATGCACAGCCAAAATAGAAACAGAAAATAGAAAACAAAGTGCAAAGCATAAGCACAGGGCCTGATCCAAATCCCACTAAAGTCTATGATAAGATTTCCACCTTGACTTCAGAGGCTTTGGATAAATCCAAAGTGTAAATTAGTTTTGCTGAGCTATCTTTTGACTCTACAGTCAATGGCACATGGAGTCTCTGCAACTAAAACTTCAGGACTCAGAATTCCAGCCAAATAAAATATTAACCTAGTAATTCCGGTCCACACAGAAAGCCGTTGATAGCATGGGTTTTGGTGAGGCTGAACTTTATTGTAAATATATTGTATTTAGATAACCACATGACTTTTGAAAGTTTTTTAATCTAAAAAACAAGATGTTAACAAGTGGCAAATCCAGAGCTAATCAGTTTTTGACAGAGCTGTGTGTTACTGGCATAGCTAAAGCAGTACCACAGTGAAGTACTAATGATTTACAAGCAATTAGAGCAGCAATGCTTGCACTGTGATTGCCAGCATTTCTTGTGTAAATTTATCTTTTTAGGAGTTTAATATCTCAGCTTAGGCTATAGACTGAAACGCCACATATAAAATCTTAACTTTTGAATTCATGTGGCTCTCTTTAAAATACAGCAGTACTAATTAATTTAAAAAAAAGCCTTTTGACATTCTTGCAATTTAAATATAGCTTTTGTATTTCACTCTGAAAACCTAAAACCCTTTATGTCTTTTTAAAGAACCCTTTCAGAAAGTCCGTCAGTAGTGCATGTGGACTTGGTACATATGTCCAACAGCTGAACACCAACTCAAACAAAATTCTGTCCAGCTTCCATGTTGAAGAAGTCCATGCAATACCTCAAAAGAGATGAAAAATCAACTTCCTAACCTCACATAGGTTTTCATGGTATGGAACCTGCATGGATTGTTTTTGCTTAATTGGATCCAAAGAATCTCTATGTACAATACTCATTAGCAGGACAGAGGGTAATCACTCCAAAGGGATCAGACAAATTACAGTGTGCTTGAGACAATTTTTAAACTTTCAAATTTCCACAAAAGTTTTTCTTGTTTTGATTTCATAAAACAAGGACAATAAAAATGGAATTAAGAGTTTGCGGTTTAACACAAAATGGAATAAAATTCAGAACTGAGGGGAACTTAAATATTGGATAAGATGTAATTACTTGTTACAAGATCCAAATCAAAGGATAATCTTTTATACATGCAAAATGTGAACTGCTAGATCTAGGCATAACAGAGTGAGTTTCACCTTAACTCACTTTCCCAATTTTTGCATGTTTAATCCAGCCCCTAAATGTTATATTAACAAGAGCAAAACAACTAATACAATAACATTAAAAACTTACTTGAAGGTCATTTTCCCTCCTCCATGTTTCTTATTATTGTGAAAGGTTCCTTGATAAGTTTGTCCATCCTTGTCAACAAGTAATCCATGTCCTAAATAATAATAAATAGAAAAATCTTTAGCAGACACATAAACAACCTCTAGAGGCAGGAAATATCCTTACATATCCCTGCAATAAAATCCCTTAATATGTGGGTTTTGAATATAGTTAACTTCTAAACTGCACAGAAAATATCTACTTCAAACTCACGGCATAGCCAATTGATGAAGGTTTAGCAAAAAATCAAACAATTTGGGTTTTAATTATAGAAAGTTTTACCAAACTTTGATGGACTACAAATCAGGTCAGAAGTTGTTGTTTATTTCAGTGGCACCCATCACATGCTAGGTGCTGTAAGAACTAAAGCCCTGATCCTACAGAAAGACACACACACACTTAACTTTTATGCATTGACAGTAGTCCCATTAAAATCATCAGAGCTACTCACAGTGTATCTAGTCAAGTAAGTGGTCCTGTCCCCCAAATTTGAACATTCTATGGACTCAGTCCTGCAAACAATCACATAGGTAAGTAGCTTGACTTCAATGGGATTAATTACATGCATAAAATGGGACTACTCATGTGTGCAGAGTTACTCATCTGTGCAAATAATTGCATGATCAGGCCTTTTGTTATCTCACAAAGGGCACCACAAATTTTGCATGAAAACCTATCTAGTTCTAGCTGAATAAATATAAGAATGGGCTTATTTCAAATCTCCAGAGGTTTGCATTAAACTCATTCTCATCATCCCAAATGTTCACTCTACCACACTCCAGTCAATTAAAGTGTAAACACAGTCAGTGCCAAATTCAGTTGTAGCGTAAGCAGGTGCAATTTAACTCAAATTAAGTCAATGGAGTTGTACTTAAACTGAATTTGGCCACCAAAATGCAAGAGAGTCCTTGGGTTAATCTGTTGTAAATGAACTTTTCTAACTAAGTTTGCTATGCTTGAGACACTCTTGGGGGAAGGTGAAAGGAGACAGACAGTGAAGGGATTTTACCCCAATTAGTAAATAAGGCCTATTTCAGCAAGATACACGTGACTAATCTTAATAACATACTCCAATGAATTCAGTGGAACCACTTACATGCTTAAAGTTAGGCCTGACCTTGCTGAATCAGGGACTTTCTACTATTCTGTGTGTATAATGCCTAGCACAACAGGGCCCCACTCTTGGTTGATTCCTATGCACTGTTGTCATAACTGTGATTAATAATGAATAAAATAATAATAATAATAATTAACCAGGACCTCAATTACTTTAGAGTGAATTTTAATTAAAATTTCCTCTCAGACTTTAACTTACCTGCTCTCATTCCATAGGAGAACTCCCCTTCATATTTCCCACCATCTTTGTACTGCATGACTCCATGTCCATGGAGCTCTCCAGAAACGAACTGACCTGAGTAAGTGTTTCCTTGAAGCAAATATATCGGAAAGTAAAGTGGAAAAAAGAAATAATAGCTGTCTCAAATGTGGTTTAATAATTTTTTTTTTTAAGTCTAAAGAGTGCTAATAAAGAAAGGTTCCTACTGTACCTTACTTACAGAGCAGTGGTAGAAGGTATTTTAAAAAAGTCATAAAGTGAATAATTAACAATGGCTTTTTATTATCAGTACAGTCAAATGAAGAAAAAAACTGTTCATTAGGTCTTTATCTTAAAACTAATGAATCATAATCCATGTTCCTTCAGGTCTTTAAAACTGAGGCATCTTAAAAATGGCAGTGACTTGTTAAAAAAAGATTCATAATATGTTCTTTTATGGTTAAGAAATGTATAAGAAGTACTTTAATTTCATAGTCAACTTAACAGCTTTTTGATGGCATGTAGTCATTCAAATCTTCTGTATGAAGCCTGGGAAATCAGGAGCTTGGTACTAAAAATACAGGACTGTACAGTGAATTTGTCTGTGCCTATACCATCCCAGAATGAGAAATAATTATATTTTTCTGTCAAGCATTTACCCAATTTATTCATAGAATAAAAGGTTACATGGGCTCCACCCCATACCTGCTACGTGCCAGCCACCACAGAGTGCCAATCGCTAGGGCTGGGGGTAGAGGGGAAGTGACTTACCCTCAGGTCAAAAAGGAAGCAGAGGTGAGGACTTACAGTTCCTTCCTATAATATCTCCTGGGGCAGCACAATCACATGATGCCCCACATTTAGGGCTGAATTTAAATAATTTTTGGGTAAGGAGTAGCTCATGAAGAGTTTCTCTCTATTCAAGAAAGGAAAAAGGAGAGGTGTGCCAGCTGGGGTATAGGTTCATTGACAAATCCATGTGTGAGAACATACACAAGATCCGCTCACTAATCACAGGGTGATTAATCCTTTACTTTCTTACAAGATCAGGGCTGAAAGAGTTTGATGCAGGTGTAGGGATCTGCCTGTGAGATCCTTATTTAGTCTCTAAGGTGCCACAAGTATTCCTTTTCTTATTGTCAAAGATAAGAGACATCCTTCTGGTTTACACCATTACCCCTCGCCCACTATTACATGCACTTTGCTTGGAGTTAACCAAAAGTCAACATAATCCAGTATAAAACAGCAAACACATGAAAACCTGAAAAAAATAGGATTTACAGTGGAAACCCAGAAAAACTCTTATTTAGAGCAAAGCAAGGTAGGCAACTTACAATATAGATAGGTATCAAATGTACTTTTTTCTACATATCCTTGTAAAAGGATAAAATTTATGTTAAAAGAGTATGGTGTATTCCAGGGAAAAGAACTAACCTGTAGATGCCCAGTATCGCAATCCATTTCCCATAATTTCTCCATCTACAAACTCGCCTTCATAATAACTTCTATCCTTAAATAACAGCTTACCATGACCTAGGAAACAATATGTTACTTCAAATGCTTTCTGAATGACAATAGACTTCTTATAATCTCAGAGACACTACATCTAATTGTTTGAGCAGTAAAGCGAGAATCAGGGCTTCTGAATTTCAACCTCAGCAATGTGTGTGACTTAATATGCAGCCCTGGGCAAGCTACTTCTCCACTCTGACTTGATTTACCCATTTGCAGAAAGGAGATAAAACTACTCATCTTACAGAGGTTTTGTGAGACTTATTTAATGCTTTTAAAGAATCTTAATCTATTTTAGGTATTCCTAACACTTATCAAAATAATGTTTAGGCACCTAGTCTCTTGATGAAAGGAAGTACAGAAGTGTTAAGTATTTTATGTGTAGGTGAAAACCTGGCCCCAGTGAAGTCAATGGGAGGTTTGCCAGTGACTTCATTGGGGCCAGGATTTCATCTCTAGAGGTTGTAAATTTTGGAAGACAAAGACTTTGTTTTCATACCAGTCTGTAAGCACCTAATATAAGGTTGCAAATATAATAGATTCTCATTATTTGTACAAAAACAAAAGAAAGAAAATTACTGTTTTTTGTTTTATTTGTAAAATATAAACAAAAGTCTTAGAGAACAGTCAAGTGACACTTGTTTCCAGAGGATGAGAGAACATTGAGTTAAGCTCTTGAACAACAATATTCTTAACTCCTTATTCCTCACATATTTCTAGCAAGTTAAACTCTGAATGACTATGTATGATGCACCCAATTCAGAAAGAAGTAAAGACTCTTTCAAGTGTGCTGGAGCATGAGCAGGCACATATGACACACAGGTTTCAGAGTAACAGCCGTGTTAGTCTGTATTCGCAAAAAGAAAAGGAGTAGTTGTGGCACCTTAGAGACTAACCAATTTATTTGAGCATAAGCTTTCGTGAGCTACAGCTCATTTCATCGGATGAAAGCTCACGCTCAAATAAATTGGTTAGTCTCTAAGGTGCCACAAGTACTCCTTTTCTTTTTATGACACACAGTGAAGAAGGAGAGAGGATAACACCCATTCCAATGATATAATGGACTACAAGAAAGGATCTATGAAGAATGGGGTGAAGGGGCAGTTTCTCTGTTACTGATTTGTGGCCTTTGGCCAAAAGGCTCTGTTCACCTAAAAGGATTTACACCTTTCTAGATCCTATAGACCTAAAAATCTCTGCAGATTTTTGCTCTGGATGCAACTAACCTACTCAGGAAGAAAAAACAAAACTTTCCTCTTGTTACAATTCTGGCTAAGCAGAGCTCTTTGTGGTGGATACTCCATGTACAGGGTCTCCCGTTTCCAGGGCTGACACTCTGCCAGATTCATGACACCCAAGCCTTGTGTATTTGTGGCCATAAAGTCTATTTTTTTACACTTAAGAACTAAAGACTGTGATGTCCATGACACCAATTATGGTTATGGATCGCTGTCACTGCTTAGCAGAGTCATACATAATCTTACTTTAGCTTCAGTGTTTAATACTGTTTCTACAGAAATTTTACAAATTAAAAAAGTTAGATAAGTGAACTAAAATTTCCCTTCATTGTCAGGGGATAAAACTATCTCCCCTTACCATGTTTTCTTCCTTGTTTCCATTCTCCTTCATATTGAAAAAAAGAATTAGAATAAACATACAGTCCATATCCTGAAAAACAAGACAAATACTAGGTAAGAAGATGAGATTTCTGGAACTATTTAGCTGAATAATAAAAAGTCATACTTGAATGCTGAAAGAACGGGTAATAGAAAAGAAATAGTTGTTTTCGGTAGATTTGTATACACATCTGCATAGACATTTTGTATCTTGAACTATTAAATAACATTTACACCAAAATAAACATAGGAATTTGTTTGCTATTTACAGAAACATCTTATAAACATGGGCATCTAGATACTACATTGTTGAGTTTATTATAAATGTTCCTAATCCATCTATGTCAAAAATATTATCTGGCATGCCATAACTTGTATAAGTCAAGAATAAGCACACATAAAACGAAGCAATCTTTGTAAGGGGAAGACTTTTTTGTTTTGTTTAAAACAGCTTAAATACCGGAACAAAGATATACACTCCCTCTTTATTTTAGCAAGAAACAACCAGCAGGACAGTGGGGTGGGAGGAGGTATTGTTTCATATTCTCTGTGTGTATATAAAGTCCGCTGCAGTTTCCACGGTATGCATCCGATGAAGTGAGCTGTAGCTCACGAAAGCTCATGCTCAAATAAATTGGTTAGTCTCTAAGGTGCCACAAGTACTCCTTTTCTTTTTGCGAATACAGACTAACACGGCTGTTCCTCTGAAACCTACTTGTACTGTGTCTTAAATCTGTTCCTTCAAAGCTCTCTCCTAGAAAAAACGAGGCAGGAGGTAGGACTGACCTTAAAGTAACGCGTGTTCTCTATGCTAACAGTTTAATTGATTATCATGTCTAGTGATCTCGCTCCTCAGGGGCTTAGTTCTCGTTTATACTATGAAGTGGTTCCCGTCTAGAAATCCAGATTCGGGGCTCAGGGGCAGCGACCCCTCTACAGAGCCTTCTACCCACCCGGTGCTCAAACAGACAGAAGACCCCCCCCCAGCCCGCCCGGGTGAGAGCGCTGCTCCCACACACCCGCCCCGGTGTGCGCGCGCACACCCCTCCCTTCCCCCTCCTTCAGGGCGCGGACAGACGGACACCCCCCCCCCGTGCAGACAGGCGGACCGACCGACGGCCCGAGCCCTCACCTTCCCGCCGCTGAGCCTGCCCCGCCCCTAAGTAGTAACCAGGCCTGGGGGCCGCCATCTGCCCTGGGAGTAGCGACGCCAGACCTTGGCAACCGTATCCTGCCGGCCATTGGCTCCCTGGTAGCTAGGGGCGGGACTTCTCCCTCTCCCCCCCTCCCGCCCGCTGTACGCATGCGTCTCTCTCTCTCTTTCTTTCCCCCCCACCCTCTTCCAAGGGCTTCCCTGCTCTACTGCATGCCTGCTGGTGACATGCTAGTCAGACATATGGGGGGACATTTTCACTGCCCATTCCCCCCCCCACCTTCAAGGATTTGGGGGAAGCACATTCCCAGCTGAGTGGGCGAGTGCTACAACATGCCTAGGTTTAGAACTGTTACTGTTATTTTGTGTAAATAATACAGAACAGCAGGGCCCATCAGGATCCAGGCCCCAAATAATGAAAACATGGTCCCTGCCCCAAAGAGTTTACAATCTGAGAACCAGATCCTGTAAGCTTGTGCACAGGTAGTGCCTGTACGGGGGGTCTCTGACTTCAATGGCCCTCCATGTGGGCAGGAATAAGTGGCAGGATCAGGGTTTAATGAAGCGCAGATACTGCAGTGATGAGGTCCACAGAAATACAAAGAAAGAGAACCACTATTATTTAATATGTACATTAGCAGTATTAACAATGCCAAGCATTCAAAAATCATGAGTCAGAACAGAAAAAAATCACAAGGTTGGCTTAAAAATCATGAAATGTTAAAAGTAATATATTTTGGTTCTTTTTATTTGCCTTCTGGTTTTGGAACCTTTAGGGATTAGCTCTTCAAGGTTTTGTTTGTTTGTTTCTTGTTTTTCATCCAACAAACAAAAGCTGGAAACTTACTTTTAAAAAAAATGCAAACTAAGAAAAATGTCCTGTAGTCCAAGGAGGACCCTCAACAAATTGGAACTTTAAGCAAAATACCAAATATCACAAGACTTATGATAAAACTGCATCTCCTGTGCTAATAGGACAATTTAAATCAGTGAGGTTTGACTATTTCTAATGTCAATTTTAAGACTAGGATCTTCATATTCTGATTCATGCATTCAGTTTCAAACTTGAAAAATGTCTCATTTTGTTTTTTTAACAAGTTCTAAGTGAAAGCATAAGGCAAATCCTCACCCCCCCAGTAGTGGCTGTTGTGGTTAGAAAAGGGAAATTTGAATCAGGGTTCCTCAAATCCATTTCTGGCTCTGCCATTGATTTATTATGTGATCTTGGAGAAATTATTTTACCTTTCCCCATCTGTATAATTATGATTTATTCTTTGTAATACAGCAGTAATACAGAGCCTCTAACAAGCCCCTCTGTGCTTGGGATACTGTATCTAATAATACTTAGCTACTTCTCAGGTGTATTGTGAGAATATAAACCTTGTAAAATGTTTTGAGATTCTTTGAAGAAAAATGCTATACATGTTTAAAAATGTAGTGATGAGTGTGATATAACTGTCTGGACATATAGTTGTGCAAACCATTACTATTGTTCCAATACATAAAGGAAAATATTTTGGAAATTAATTTAGAAAATCAGGTTTAATCAAAGAGCACTGGGTGAGGGATTTTATTATTTCTCTTATAATCCAAGTGTTTTAAAATATATTTGTAAAGCTAACTATGTATGTGAAGGGAAATTCTTAACCTAGGAAAGCCAAAATGGTAGTTAGTGTAAGTATTGCACTAAGACGGTTAGGTGATCTTCAAAATACTTACTCAAATACAATTTGATGAATTTTATGCCACTTAACTTTTATAAATATTTAAAAAAATATCTATGTGAAATCTTTTTTAAAATGTTGACTGTAAAATCGGATGTATTTTTGTACTTTATTTCTGAGGTGAAACAAATATATTGCTAGAATCCAGAGACTGCATCAACATACTACTTACTACTTGGGTGACTTTTTTGGCCATGGGGTATTTGAGAGGATTCCTGAAACTTGGAAGAATTCAGAATCCTTCAAAACCAGTCAGGAAGAAAAGTTTTATTCAATTTTTTTAGGTGTCATTAATATCAGAGCTATAAAGCCAAGGAAAGAATGGTAGTTATTTCTGAAGAAAAGTAATTTTGATATATTGTTGTTTAATAAATATTTATATAGCTATCCAAGATGTTGGAACTAATCACTCTAGTTTTCCTTTAAAAGGGGCAAATTTATCATGGTTTTATTTCAAGCTCCGAAATGCAGCATAGTCAGTAGTGCGATATTTCAGTTCAAGAGACAGATTCAAACAGACATTTTCATAGGGTCACTGTAAAACTTCATAGCATAGTATACTGCAAGAAGTGATGATATAAAAAATTTCATTTTCTTACTCAAGAATTCTGCTTGCTGCAGATTGAGTCGGATCTACTCACTTGAGTGACAATAGTAATTTTTTCTCCTGTTAGCCTTGCAAAGATAAAGCAGCTATGGGAGAGGAAGCTGAATGGACCCTGGCACTGCACAGAGCCAGCTGCAGGATCTAGGCCTAAACTGCAACAGCAGTTCCAAATGTTTCCTCTGTTACAAATGTGAGGGGAAAATTTTGCACCGCAGAATGTTTATTACTGGTGATGATGCATACAAAGAAATAATCCCTGTTTGATATTTGGATCCCTTGTTGAGTTTGCCAGTCTTACAGTTAGAAAAAAAACCCATCTTTTTATATTGGTAAACTGAGCAAATGTGATCTCAAATTGAGAGGTGACAAACAGAAAACCTGCAAATGCCATATTTCAAGTCACATTACAACTGCACTTTCAGGCAGCAAAACCGTACAGAGTTTGGAAGAATGGCATGGGGAAATAACTTGGTGCCTATATTTACTTTACCCAGAATCTCAGCTGCATGAATAGCATGTCTCAGATCACAAGGTGGATAGCAAAGCGCGTAGGATCTAATCACCATTTTTTTTAAAAAAATCCTGAACGTTGATCATTTGCGGGATGTTCCCAGGAAACAGGGGCTGTCACTCACCCCTCCAGACGCAACCCACTTCTTGCCAATTCCATCTCATCCTCGTTCAGGCCCCCCTCCCAGCCAGGCCCCCCTCCCCCAACTACTAGGGCCGTCAAGCCCTCGCTCAGCCCAACCCCAGAGCCCAGTGCTTAGGCCCCCCCAGTACCAGGGGCTGTAACCCCAGCGCCCCCCACCCCCGGCCCCAGACCAACCACCCTGCAATCCCACCTCCCAGTACCAGCCCCCCAGCACTACGACTTCTGCGACCCCTGCACTCAGTACCAGCCTCCGAGAGCAACCCCACGGGGGCCCCCTCGCCAGCGCCCGACGCTTCTGGAGGCGGGGGCCCCTCCGGCCCCGCCCCGGAAGCGGAAACAGGTGGCTTGGCCTCATCCTCCGCCATATTGGATGCTGTGGTGGAGGGTGGGGGGGGAAGGCGGAAGGCGAGACCTGTCCCCGGCTGCAGCGGCTCCGGCACCCGTGAGTAGCCGATTTCCCCCTCCCTCGGGACCGAGGCGGGAGCGAGCCGGGCCCAGGGCAGTAGCTGGATGCGGCCTGGGCCCCGTAAGGCGGCCGCGGGGCCGGGGATGGTGAGGTGTCCCCCGGGGCGGGGATTCTCGCACAGGGCGCCGGGAGAGCCGGGAGGCGGCGCGTCGGGAGCGGCGCCGGGAGGCTGGGCGGGGGGAGCGGCCCTCGGGGTGTGACGGGAGAGGGCGGGAGGGCTGCTCTGTGGAAGGGGGCGGGTGAGTCTCGGGATCTTTCCGGGTCGGACCCGTGCGGCCCCCTGGAGCCGGGTCGGTGATTCTTCTCCCGCTGCCCACAGGGGCCGGTCCCAGTCCGGGGCCGCCTCCTCCTTGACCTCCGCTTCAGAGGAGCGTTCACGTTGTTTACTTATGATCTTCGCGGAGTCCCCTCTCTCCTGCGTTGCCTCCTTTAGTCAGGGTCAAGATTTAACTAACCTTGAACACCCGTGGACGTTCGTTTCTTTAACGACAGTGGGGGGGTAGAGGTGTCCTAGAGCTGCTGCTGTTTGGCTGGGAATGTATTTGTGAAGGGCCAGGTGCATGAGGTAGGAGGGTAGGAACCGAATCTGTTGTAAAAGGAAAGCTTGCGCTTGGTGGAAACCAGAAGTAAGCTGCAATGCTTTAAAGAACTTGGGACCAACGGGGCTGCCTTGTGCCTTTGGCTGGCCACTGGTCCTTCTAATAGAACATCTTTGGCTATTGCACATGAAAGTACGCTCTTCTACTAGCACAGGGAACTGCATCCTTCTTTTCAGTTCTTCTTATTTGCTTGTTTTGTCTTTAAAGTCAGAAAAATTCCATAATGTTCAGAGAGTTCTCTGCCTAGTTACACTGTGCATGCTTTTGGAGTTTCATTCATCTCTTCCTTCATTACAAATTAAAATAAAATGATCAAGGAAGAGACCCTGCTTTTTCAGAATTCAGGGGTGAACAGTGCTTGCCTAGTAAACTAGACAACGTAACTTCTTCTAGCTCATGTGTTTGTAAGATAAATATATTTTTCAGGCAGAACAGCAGTTTTATAGAGCCATATTTCATGTGCGTAGCACTCTGTTTAAAACTCCGAACTCTATTAAGTTCATTAGGTTAATTTCAGTCTACTCCCTGGCTACTGACTTATTTACAGTGCTGGATTTTGATAACATCTCACTGTAAGTAACAGAGGAAATTTAATGCTCTGTTATAATGGTGTGTTATCAAAATTAACCCTTATTTCCAATTCTCAGATATGATTTAGGTCTGTAATTGTGATTTAGGTCTGTAAATTGTGAACCCTTTTCAAAGCAAATTTCATAAGACACACTCTTCTTGAGATACTTACTCCTGGGGGAATTCTGCGCCACTGAAATATGCAGAATTTATGTCCCCTGCAGATTTCTTTGCTTCCTAGCAGAAAAATGACTTTGTGGCGGTGAAGCAAAGGGAAGCCACAAGAGTAGTCATCCAGCCCTCCCCAGCAGTATATTTCAGGTGCTCAGGGCAGCTGGCAGAGACGTAAATCACTGTGGGGTAGGGGGCAGGACTGGGGAAGACCTGGCTCATGATTCCTACCCTGCGCCAGTCTTGGCTGGGCTGGGGAGGACGGGACTTCCTCTTCCCCTGCATGGCATCTGGGGCCCAG